TCGCTGCAACTCTGCGTATGTGATGTGTATTTGCTTAATCACGTGATCTTGGTTGTGATGTTGATTTATCGAGGTCTTTCGGGACACTCGGCGGACTACCGGGTTTATATAAGTGAAAGTAGGTGCGTGTCAACGTGTTAGCGGGGACATCCGTACTTGATCTTGTATAAATTGGGCGGTTCTGTCACAACGAGTACCCTGTGTTCTGCAGCTGAGAGTTGCTTTGAAGGCTAACATGTTGACACGCACCTACTTTCAGCTAAGCTACTCGCCATGTCCTAAACCCTAATAAATAAGAAAAATCAGCTAAACAGGGTTTATAAACACATTTACTGAACAAGGATACAATAATTTATTTTGAAAGGTTAAATTTTAGGAGTATTTATTTAATTAAAAATCTGCAGGCAGAAGTAGAGAAAATCAACACCAATGTACATGAAATGAGCTAAACTAAACATGAATAGTACTTTTGTGGACGTGAATCCTGAGGCTTGCACCACATCCACCTGCCAGAATGTATCCTTCGATGCTGTTCTACCTCATCTTCAATTACTCAAGGCCAAAGAAAGGAGGCCCAAGTAAGGCCAGAAAAAAAATCTGATCGGTCCCTCTGAATAAGTTCAGGGATTCCTCCTAAAACAAGATCATATCAATGTACATAGTTGACTATTAGTGTACAAATAAAAGATTGGTAGCTCCTTGTCATGCTAGTTGCTTTATCAATTCCTCGTAAAACAAAATCAGTGCCCCATTCCAAACAAACTATAACAAATATTGAATTCAAAGCTAAAATTTAACTGCATCTGATGCTGACCAGCTACCAATTCATACTCACCTTTACACACACAGGTGCTGAGGCTGCTATCTCTGTCATGCCAGGGATATGTTCGGGGGTGACTCTGTGGAGCAGCTGCACGAATAGGGGAACCACATCAATACAGGGGAGGCATGAAGCTGCATACAGGTGGAACACTAATATAAATATATCGAACAATAGATAAATATCTAGAAGCCCAATTCGACAACAAGCACAACAAAGCTTCGCTTACATCTAAAATCCAATCCTAATAGGGAGCTTGTTAACTAGATAAAACTCTATCTCTATATATTATCATAAATTGTCTACTCAAGGGAAGGGAGAGCAAGAAATGAACACAACATAGATAATTGGACAAACAAAACCTAAAGTGAATCCCAAGGGGACATGTAAATCATATACAGCTCAACCAAACTGTTTTCAGAAAATGTCACCGCCTATGATGGTAATGAACCAACAGCATGAAGAATCAAAAGAGAGTGGAGAGGGAACCTTATGTGCTGGTGGAGCTCAGAGAAGACTAGTATGAAGAAATCTTCATAGACGCACATAATTTTTGTTTAAAAAAAATCAGCTGCAGGTTAAGGATATTCTAAGTCTAAAACTTCAATGGATGCATTCTATATTTTCTGTAGAGATGCAAAATCAAGTGATTCAACTTCAACTATAAGGTGGCACAATGTCTAATCCAATGTTAATCACATTCATCCTACTATTTTAATTGAACCACAAAAATCATCTCAGTTCAAAGCTTTTCTTCAAACAAATTGAGCAAATTTTTTTCTCGAACAACGCAGAGAGCTGTGTCATTTCATTAAGAAAAAGAACATAAAGGAGGGGAGGTTAAACCCTCCTAGTACATACAACCCCGACCAAAAAGAAAAGACTCAACTCATTAATGATCTACGACGAGCGACCTAGCCAAAAGCCTATGCAACGCGGATGCCCCTACCAAGCACCATAGGGCACCTTCATTGGCAACCCAATGAAGCAGCACTTCTATGTTAGGCCAATCACCATCAAACACAAAAGCATTTTGGTGCTTCAATATTTCCCAAGCCACTAGGATAATAAGGGTATTAAGGACTTCGCGCTCAACTCTAGGAATGCCCCATATAGTACAACACCAGCAGCCGAAGAAATGACTATGCAAAGAATTCACAATCTACAAGATAAGACTGAAATTAGCCTAATCCAAATCCAAAGAAAGATAAGAAGGATTGTGCGTGCCTCATCGGGATCTTGCTAGGTTAAGGCTGCTGGTGAGGGAAGCACCACGCAGCAGCTTAGTTAGCAAAGAATTACTAAACCTAATTTTTGGATTGGAATAATCAATTTGCTTAACTCAGAAATCCTATGAGCATACAGTTTGATTCACGAGGTGAAGCAACTAGTTAAGTTGAAATTGCCAACAATATCTTCAAAGTGAATATGAAAGGTAAATCCAATTTGGTCAAAGAGCAGCCTCTGGACCAGAATTGGAAGATGCGAATTAACTCGGTTAGTTTTAGTCACACAAAATATCACTCACAAAATATCACTGATTGGTGGCTGCAATTTAGTGGAAGAAAACAGAGGCAGAAGAAAACTACCTGCAGGGAAGAGCTGCATTCAGGTTCTTGCCATGACTATCAGGCACGGCTAGCGTGGGCGGGTTGACGTGGAGCGGGCCAAAGCATAGCGCCCAAGCTTTGCCAACACCATTTTCTTTGCCACATCTGCGTCCGTGACGACAAGGCAACGTGCCACCGTCATCTTTATTGAGGAGGATGCATAGCGGTATGGAGCTCAACCAAAAAATTTAGTTGAAGCGTAACGTGAACACATAACTAATATTATAAAAAAATCACATACGCACATCACATTCTCATTGATATCCCACACAAATGGATAATATATGACAAATTTAATCTCTTAAAGAATGAAGATGGTACCTACTATTAAAAAGTAGTCGTCCATAGCAAGCTAGCAGCGCCTTCATATAATTCATTAATTCAACATACACCAATTGACTAAGATTCAACTATCCAAGAGCTAATAAACCTATAAATTTAAATAACAAATCAATTACTGTATGATATTATGGGAAAATACATTTACACAGCTTTGAAAAGACATAGCACGACATAGCACTAGCGCATTTTGATAAAGAACTGTAACAATCAACTGGTAAATCATAAAATCAACTGCCACTAGCTATTCTAAACCAATGGGGGAATTTTTTATTTTGAACATTTTCCCCTAGGCAGAGGAAGACATTATCTAATAAATCCAATCTAGTAGCAATGTTGCCTATGCGAACCCCAGTTTCGACATGCTGGGTCATCCCAAACCAGAGGTTTCCCATCCCAACAGATTCAGGGTAAAAAGAGAGAGCAGCAGGGTGGGAGGGGGAGATCGAGCTAGCGGACCTGGTAGGAAAGCCAAAAAATTCGTGGATGGTGTAGTCGCAACTTAAATTATGCTGATTATGTGGTCAACTGAAGAAAAAAAACTCTATTATATGCTACCAATGTGGCCTGACCACTAATACTGTCATGTGTGACCACAAAAACTTAAATGCTATGCACTCTAGCATCACGTGTTGATTTCCTAACCATAAATAATTTGTATCAACGGTGATCATCTCTGAATAATAATATTTTGCATATCTGAACAGGTACTCATCTTCACAAATAAAAGTAATCAATTCCTTAAAAAATAGTACATAAATATCTAGTTACTGGAACTGGTCTCCCTCAGCTAACAAAACAGTGGTAAGATACCACCAGCTCTCTCTGAATAGATTAGAATTGACAAGCTTCCTCGCTCAGTCAGCAAATCGATGCACAATTACAATAACAAGGACTGAAGGCTGGCCTTACCTCACGTGTAGGAGGCCGGGTTGCAGGGCAGGGCTGCGCAGCGACATCCCTCGAGAGGCGTCTCCAAATGAATACACTGTTACACAACACAATTAGTATTGGTAACAGTTACACAACCAGCATTGGCAGCTGAGACAAACTCACCTTGTTGCAATTGAAGAGGAGCTCCTGGCCACGACCTGGGCCGAGACAATCGAACACTCGCAGGGAACGCATCCTGCACTCGAATCATCAAATCGAATCAAGAAGGGGAACGGGAAGGAGATGGTGCAAGAGAAGGGGATCTGGAGGAGGGGCACCTGGATCTGCCAGCAGTGTTGGAGGAGCACACGAAGGAGCGGCGGGCGGCGGGTGGACGGCGGCGGCAGCACCGACCGCCAGGCGAGTTGCTACTCCTTTTCTCGGGAGTTCGCGGCGGAGCCGACGATGAGTCACGCAAGCAGCACGGAGGCTGCTGATGATGGCAAGATGGTAGTGGGGACGGCCGCCCCAAAGTGCGGCGAAGCTCGCCGGTGCCGAACCCAAGAAGAACCGTCGGTGCCGACCCTCAACTGGGGCCTTCAAGACCACGGCCACGACCAGTAGGGACGACGAGCTGAGAGAGTGAGGGGATGGGGGAGGGAGACGGCGCCAAGAGGTCCCTTGGCGGCGGTGAAGCAACAAAGCAGGAGGATGGCGGCAGCGGCGGTGGCGGCAACCAGAGCTCGGGTGTCAGGGCCGGAAGTAACCGTGCACCCACGAGCCACGAGGACACGATCGACACAGGGAGATCTGAAACGAAAAAAAGGAAAGATTTTTTTTTTGAAAAAAGGAATGGATGAGGAACGGTGAATGGATCGGTGGGTACGCGAGAAAAAAAGTAAACCGGCGCTGTGTGGCTTGTCGGGTCGGGACTTGGGAGTCGGGACGGGCGTGGACCGTGGAGGGATGGACGCGTCGCGCGCTGCCGCTGGATGGGCTCGGATATTATTCTGTACCCAGGTAATATATATATATAATATATATATATATATATATATATATATATATTAAAGACGCGGTCGAAATCTGGAAATGTGGAAAGCGCAAAAAGGCCCGCACGCGCCTGCGTCTGTGTGGGCGGGCACTGGGCAGCGTCACCAAAGCGAGTCCCACGGCCCCTCCCTTCCCCGGTCCCGACTCCCGAGCGCCGCGCCGGTAAACTCTCTCTCAGCGCACGCCCCCAATCTTCATTCCCCCGAAACCCTAGCCGCTCCTTGGCCCTGTCCCGGTCGCGCCGCTCCCCTCGCCTCTCTAAGGTTCCGGCGGAAGCCGTCCTCTGTGCGTCGGCGGCGCTGGAGATGGCCTCCTCATCGGCGTCTTCGAGGCACCAGGTCACCATCACCCTCGGCCGCAGCGGTCAGGTGAGCCGTCATGCCTCGGTCAACCCGTGCTTATAAGGTCAGCGTGTTCTCATTCTCCGTTGCGGATTTGCCTACGGCATCGTTCAGGGTTTGAATGTTGATTGATTAGCATCAGAGCAGATTCTCCCGCAAGGGAGATCAGGGCCGATGATCTGGTAGAGGTCTGTATAGCATTGGTTAACCTTAGTTTGGGTCTAGAGTGCGGGGTACCAGGTACTATATGGAGGGATCCTATACGATTTGGCGTGTCAAAAGTTGGTTGCATGGAGTTGGATTTGGTTGTTGACTGCAGGGGGTACAATCTTGCTGTGTACCTCAAATCAAGGGATGATGGTGTGATTTTGTGAAGGTGGCTTAATCTATGTGTGTCTGCCCACTTGGTAGCTTTGAGTTTCTATCTAGTGTGGTTGGGGTGGGGGGTCGAGCTAACACGAAAAGTACCTGTATGGGTGTTCCAATGTTGTGGTATATAGTAGAGAAATCTCTGGATCTCCTGCAGTGATATTATTTGTTTTTCTACTCAAGATACATAAGAGGGACTGGAAATGGTTGTGAATTGTAACGAGGGCATGGCAAAGTTAAATGTGGAGGGGCAGAATCTGTTGATGCATATTAGGTTTATTCTTTTATGTTGCTCAATATGTGTATACGAGATAAGTAGCACTTGAATTACTGTAAAGTAGAATTTTTCTGACATTGGGAGAAACAATAGAAGCTTGTACAGTGAATGTTCTCTTGCAAGCTTTGTTTAGGGCACACCCTTTGTAGTAGTGTTTACTTGTACCTGCTGGTCATATCGAAGATTACCAATCATTTGTATGCACAATTGCACATTCTTCATTCAGATCTTTTATGCTGTTATTTGTAATGTCTAAAGAACATATATGCACACCATATCAGTACTTATTAGTATGATTTAATTATTAGCAGTGAAGCCACTCACGCTTATTATGCATGTTTTTTCTTCAATTTTCTCTATAGTGATTTGTTTGGAAACTATCTTGGACTTGATAAAGTATACAAGATTGGTTTTAAGGTTTTAAGGATACATGTTTTTTGCATCTTAATCTTTCCCAAACCTTGATGAATTCTGATATCACCTTCTTTACAAGATTACCTTAATTTTATTCTCCTTAGGTTGTCAAAAGGAGGGCTATGTCTGATGATATTGACGACGATGAAGTGCCATCGTCAGGGAAAAAGCGATCTGTGAGGGATAGGTTAGGAAGTAATGTGTCTGATTCTTATTTTTATGAAAGCCAGCAGAGAAACAAAAGGTATCTTTCTTGGTTCTGCTATTTCCATCCTTTGTATAGGCTTCAAAGTTTTGAACTACATTGTAATATACTCCCTCCGTCCCAAAATAAGTGTTGCTATGGTATTCGTGCTAGTCAGTTTGTAAAAAATATTAGCAATATTTGTATCTTCAAATAAGTTTATTATGAAAATAGATTCAATGATCTATCTAATGATACTAATTATGTACTGTAAATATTAATATTTTTTTGTATATATTTGGTGAAAGTTAAAAGCATTTGACTCCTTGAAAAGCGAGAATGACACTTATTTTGGGACGGAGGGAGTACAAAGGATCTAATATACAAAGGATTCTTTCCACATCATTAGGGACAGAGTTTGTTCCTTCGTGGTAATTTGCTCCCAGTTGTGAGCCATGGCTTCAGCTTCATTACAATGTTTCAATCACGCCAAACTAAATGTTTTTCATAGTTTATACATTAGTGTCAACTCCATCACTCTGCCATGTAGCCTATGTATTTGGGTTACCGCTATGGCACTATTACTAACAATAACTATTTTACAATTGATTTCTGATGCACATATTTGTGATAACCTTAAGCAGATGTGTATTAATTTATGGTATCATCTTTACTTCTCTTGTTCATAATTTAGCAAATTCTTAGCTTATCTATATATATGGAATATATGGACATGCACACCAATGTTGTCCTTCTATTCAATTGTGTGCTGCACTGCATGCTCCCTGTTTTTAGTTTATCTTATATATTTGTGAAGCACTTGCCTTTGAGATCATAGGATGTGTGGTTCCATTTACTGTGTTCATTTTGTTACATTCTGTCACTACAAACAGGTCACTCCTTGCCTTTTTCTTCTGTAAAATGTAATTGGTTTCCCTGTGGTTCCACTCTCACTTTGCAGGCGAGCGACAGAAAGTAGTAGCTCACATGGAGATGATGGTTCAGGTGATGATAAACCTTAACTTCTTGTCAATTCACTAGGGCTTGAATTGAAGATATCTGGCACTACTTACTCTGTTGCATTGGCGTGCAAAATATTTGAAGGTCGTCTGGTTGGCAAGGATGATCTGAGACTGAAACTCATGAGGAAAGGCTTGTTACAGAGGAGCAGTGGTGGTGCAGAGCAGAATGGAATGGATCTCCGTGAAAAGCTTTCCCGAAATCATAAGAAGTTACCAAGATATGATTCTAGAGGCCTTGCTGCAGAATCAAGGGCTAGTTATGAGATGAGAGATGAGCCCCCAGAGTTAAGGTCCAGATATCCTTCGAGGGAGGATGTCCTAGGGTCAAGGCACTCTTCTGTTGTAAGTCGAGTTCCTTATGCAAGAAGTGTGGATGATTTGTTAAAGTTGGACTCTTCAAGAAAATCTTACCCCAAATGGACAGACGATGGTTTGAGGCACAGATCACCTGAAAGGATTTTTAGTGTTTGGAGTGATGTGTCTCCACCGATAGCTTATGATCAGATTAGGCCCATGCCACCCCTTAGATCTGCCGGTTCCTCAAAACCTCAAAGTTTCATTACAAGAGATGCTCCTGACACGTCAAGGAGTCAACCATATGCTGGCAAATCCACCATTTCTGTTGATACAGTACAGAGAACTAATGGAATCACTCCATCTAGTGCAGCTCTGCCTAAGGCCCCTGTTATGGTTTGTATCTGTACTTCCTCTCATAGACCCTAATTCACTGATGTTTCTGAGGAAACATAAGGGAATTTTGGAGCAAAATTCCTTTCTTTTGTGCACAGCATTTTCAAATTCTTTCTGAAATCACATCTGCCTGTTTTTAATGCTGTTATTTGGGTTGGTCCCAGGTGTATATTTGCTCATTTGTGTGGTTATTTGCTGGTAGTATGAACAAACTTAGAATTTAGAACACCATCAACTTTCTGAAGTTAACATTGTTCAGGCATGACTATTCGTTGATACATCTGATATAACTTATTGAAACACTTTGAAGAGGATGCAACCTTTTAACATTTGTTAAGTTTGCTCATGGTTATCTAGGCATCTAGGTTCCACATCCGAATTATTAATAACTTCTGTAGTCTTGGAATTTTACTAGTTAGATATGGTTATGCATTCCCGTACTGATGTTCATACAATCATACTTGAAGCTTAATGACATTGCTCTGCAACTTTGCAGGCTGAAGCCCCGCTTACAGTTACTGGATTGCTGAATTCGTTGGGTCTTGAGAAGTATCTTGTCCTCTTTCAGGCTGAGGAGGTAATCTTTCACTACTTTATTTGTTTCATTCTGTTTAAATATTTTTTCTTAGTAAATATCATGCATTACATTTTCTTTCTTGTACCTTGCATGGAATTATGAACTTATGCTCCCTAGAAGAGATCAATGTTTTCTGAAAGCTTGTTAATTTGTTGGCACTTTGCGATTTTTTCTTTGCCTTCTACAATTATTCTTGCATGGTATCTATTCACTGATTTGGCTTCATGTTTTCTGCTATATTCATATGGGATATTCTAAGACTTACCAATGATTTTGTAAAGTTTATGCCAGATCCAGACATTCTCAGCCCATTCAAGCATATATTTGAATTTATGAGATTATATATTCATTCATGTTTAAAGCAATAAGGAATAACTTATGGAGTGATTATTATGACAATAGTACCTTTTTTTCATACTATTTACTTGTTTGCAGGTGGATATGGCTGCATTGAGGCAAATGGGGGAGAGCGACCTCAAAGACATGGGGGTACCAATGGTAGGTTGGAAGTTTACTGATTTTTTGTTTAACACTATGGTAGCATATTAGCATCCATACGGAAAAAAACAAATACAATCTTAGGATGATAGCCCCCTTGCCCCTCTTTTTTTCAAAAGGACACTTGTGCATCTGCTAAATTTCTCAAGTCAACAGATTCGTAGATGATGAGCGTATTAGAATGTGGACTTGCCAAATTGTGTGCAAAGATGTGACCATATGTGCAGAAAACTTTAGAGTTTATGTGGTTTTTGGGCTACCCAGTACTATTTCTGCTAGTAATTAAATTGAATTAAATATTATGAGTAAGAGATTCTAGCTGAAGTTCACCTGAAGCATGAATTTGACAGGCCACTTTGTTCATGTTTTTGTCAAAAAGTTGAATCATAATATTTCTATTAGCAAAGTAAATCATTAGCTCTTTTTTTTTCTTTTGCTTTCAGTAGAAATGGAGCTCAGAACTCATCTTAAACACGGGTTACTATGTTGCATGCTTTTGTTGTTCCAAGCATACGCCTGTCATATACATCCATCATGAGAATATATATGGCTAAAAATGTAGGCAGAAGACAACTGTTCTTAAGTCTCTTCCTAAACAAGAGGCCTTAATACCTCTTCTAGCAAGTTCATCTAATAATAAACATTAATGTGTTGAAGCACAACCTAGGTTAATACTCCCTCTCAGTTCCAAATTATAAGACGTTTTGTTCTTTCTAGATACATTACTTTAACTATATATCCACACATAGTGTATATCTAAGTGCATAGCAAAAGCTATGTATGTATCTAGAAAAGCCAAAACGTCATAATTTGGAATGGAGGGAGTAAGTCTCAACTCTCTAGATTGGAAAAAAAGATGCAACCTGGGTCTATACTTTTAGCCACTGTTCCAACTACTGTCGGGAAGAGTGGCTGCATTAGATTTTTTTTTTCTGAAAATTGTCACCCATGATGTTATTAAATCAAGCTGCATCGTATCTTCCCAAAGTAAAATAGGTCCTTGTGCTTGTTGTGTACATCTACCAAGTGCATCTCAGTAATGAATCTATCAGCAGGCCTTTGTGTCCTAGTCACCACTATTCTCCAGTTGATTGGTTTTCTTGCCTTAAAGCAGGAAACATGATTCAGCAAGCACCAACATTCTTCAGGTGCAAACGTGTTTGACACAGACCACTGTTTTATACAATGAAAAAACAATGTTTTGTATAGTGTTTCTGTGTTCTATGCTTGTGTGCCTTGTGCACCTCCAGTTGATTCTTTTCTAACCTTACCTCTAGACATTCAACAATTTCTCAAAAAATCCTTTTTGCTGAGCCAATTGTTTGTATTACCTTTCATATAGTTGAACATGATTGTGAAGGATGTTTTTTTTTTACTCAGGGCCCGAGGAAGAAGATTCTCCTTGCGGTTGGCCCTCAGTCGAAACAACGGCAAATATGAGCAACATGGTGTGGGACTACGAACATATGTTGGCAACTGAAAATATTGGTGTAAGAACGCCAGATGGCAGATATTGTATATCCAATTACTATCCATAGTGGCTGTCTTAATCCACCCTTTTGTTGCCGATGGCGTTGTTTCGTGCCGTAGTTGACACGTGTAAAGTCTATTCGGTCAGCTGTTAATCCCAGGTTCAATCATTCACGGTCTGCCTGCCCACTGTTATTATGGTTTCGAAATGGGTGGATTCGCCGTACACGTGGTTTACTCACTGACGATTGGTTTGGGAATGGAGGCTCCGTTCAATTCTTTTTTTGTGTCACAAGGCGCCGATACTTTTCAAAAGGCACGTACTACGTGGCGAGAAGATAACGACTGGCAGACGGCAGACAGAATGTGCTCTGAGGAGAGGGGCGTGCTGTATGGGGTCGTCGCCTCCAAGTGACGAGGCGCAGATCCGACTGGCGCACGCCGAGAATTCAAGCCGTGCAACATTGGCCCCGTTAGGTTGGCTAGATTTGGCTGAAAAAACAAGCTAAAAATACTGTTTTAAATTATTGTGAGAGAAAAATACTGTTCTGGCTGGAAAAAAAAAGCCGAACAAGTCGGATTTTAAGACAAGCGAACAGGGGTTTTTCAGCGCGGCTAGCGTCCGGACGGAAGACCACCTCTCTGTTCCCCCTTCTTCCTTGTGCTCGACTGCCCCTCCACCGCTGGTGGCCCCTTCGCTCCTCTTCCTCCCTGTGTGATGGCGTTCATCTTCTCCTCGCCCATTGTCCACTGCACCGCCGCAGCGTGCTAGGATCTCGTTGGAGCTTTGCCACCGTGTCCACAAAAGGTAGAATGACTTATAATTTGGGATGAATGGAGTAATATCCTAACATGGGCGTGAAGATAAAATAAAACACTTTAATGTGTGGTACGGTCTGTTTATCACTCGTTGATAATAATTCGAAGACTCCTTGTTAACGTGACCTCAACGAAAGCTAGACATATTATCTGTTTCAAACATGGTTTTCGATGCGTGAACATTCACCTCGTCGAATCATGTACGTCTCCCTCAAATTCCTCAATCTCATCCCAGTTGATAGGCTCATTCAAATCTAAACCAGGCATGCCAAAATATTTTTCATATACATGCCAAATTAGTTAGGCACAAACAGCCAAAAAAATGCGTGCGGCTACATGCATGGAATATGGAAGTTGTTGTGAAACGACACCGATATGTGAACAGACGTCTACAGACAAACAAATGTTTCTTCACGAGTGATCTCATCCATTAAAGCAAATAATTAGTGGATAGGATTAGACGATTAATTTTAGTCCCAAAGGTATATCTTTTAGGAACAGTCGTATCCCTTCGTGACACTCTTCACTTATATAAATATATTTCATGGATCAATGAAAGCAATAGGCAATCTTGTTCATTTACGTTCACGCTTAGCACTTTATCAGCACGTTGCTTTGCCCGGCGGTTAATCGGCCATAGGATCAGTTCTCGGGTGTTCTTCATATTGAGCGAAGAACGAAGAACTGGATACGAGAGGAATAAGAAGGTCGCAATCTTCATGCCGGCTGCTCTTGCCGGCATCGTGACCAACACTCTACATGAGGAAGACGCGAAGCATCTTCATCGATCCAGAAAACAAGATCTACGAAGGCCAAAGACATGGAATCGATGATCTCCGTCCAAAAGCACTACAGAACATGGATGTTCGACTGACCGTATCCACGCCCGGCACGACACGGCGGCAACACCGCGCACCTGGTACCCTGTCGTCGGTAGTGGCCGGACCCAATCCGGGCCCCTTCACGTCGGAGACGGTGGCTGGCTCCAGTGCCTGGCGCCCCGGCGGCGGCGGCGGTCGTGCCTGCGTTTGCCTGGCGACAACGGCGGTGCTTGCACGCTGGCGGCGTTTGTAGCCGGCTCCAGTGCTCAGCGCACCCGTTGGTGGATGCGTCCGGGCTGAACCTGAGAAGCGGCAATGGCGATAGCCCTTGGCCTCCCGCCTGCCGGCGCATGCCTACGGTAAATCTGGAGGCGCCGCGCGGCCACGAACTACGCGACTCGGACCTCTACACCCGCTCTCGAGGTAGGCAGCCCGCGTTGCCTCCTGCGCCGCGGCCCCGCGCGTCCTCCGCGCCAACAGTCGGTGACTGGCGGTCTCGCGCGGCTCCGAGCCCGCACGCCGCGACGGCCTCTGCGCGCGCGGCCAGGCGCCCGCAGCCCTGCTGCCCAGTCCGGTGGCCGGACCCTGCCGCGGCCGACGGCCCCGCGTGGCCCCTATGCTCGGCCCCGCGACGGCTCCTCGCTGGGCCAGGAGACGGGATCCGCGGCCGATGGGCCCGCCCACAGCCGGCGAGACAGCACCGGGGTCTCCCGTGGCCCCAAGCAGCATGCCCGGAGGCCAAGAGACGCGACCGACGGGAAAACCGTTCGTGCATTGGATAAGTTTGTGCAGAAATGCACGAACACCCTTGATGTTGGCCATACACAAGGTGGTACATTAGTTGCTACTACAGGATCTACACTAAGTTTATAACTCAGTGACTATCTTCAACGTACGTATCTAATATCATAAATTGAAACATATGATCTACATCTTTTCACAAAGATCACTAACATTAATTCGCATTCCAATCGGCCATACACAAGGTAGTACCAATACTGTAGGATCTACACTAAGTTCATAACTTAGTGACTATCTCAACGTGCTTATCTAATTCGTTTGCGGATTAACTAAGATCACATCAACCTTTTGATGATTACCTTAAAATATGTTTACACCAAATTGCATTCACTATTTGGCATCTACTTACATACAAATGATGTCCATATTATTAGAGGTCTACATCTTTATGATGACTACCTCCACAGTGTTAGCATAAATATGAGTTTCACACTATTAGCAATACAAAACTCATCTTGTTTCCAAATTTATTTTGCATTAATTAATACAACACCACCATAGCAATTTTAAATTTATTCTTAGTGTAAAATCAGAAAATCTATGGTTTAAACCTTGATGGAATAATAGCCATGAAAGAGTTTGATCTCTCGCTCTTGATGATCACCATTATCTAACATGGTCAATGGACGTAGAGTTAAATTTGTCGTTCTATGGATTCATATCAATACTCAATGCTCCTCATAAGAGAGCATCTCCTATTCTGATCAATTTAATTATGATGTTTTATTTAAATAAAACATCATATACATCTAGATCACAAGATATGTGTATCATCTCAGAGGATATAAGTCGATGCACTATATGGCTAGCTCTCACAGAGTGATATGAACAACATAAGACAATAATTTTGTCCAAATACCAACTATGATTGGCCACAATTTTATATCTAGGACTTTATGTCCACTTGAGAATAGAATTATGTTGTTCCCAAGTATCCTTTATATTGTGTTTTGCAATTTTCGCAACTTAGTATATATATTCTAGATTAATTTCTACATTACCTCAGGTCTATGTGTATGATAAACTCTTATGGAAGAATCATCATTAATTAGGGCTGGACAAAATACTCGCGGCTCGCCAACTCGCTCGACTCATGGTCGGCTCAGCTCGGCTCGACTCGGCTCGTTTTAACTTTTCACGAGTTGAGCTGGAAGTCTAGCTCGCTATTTTAATGAGCCAGCTCACGAGCTGCTCACGAGCTGAAACGAGCTGAGGACTATCAGCCCACGACCATGAATCCAGAAGATGATGATGCTGACCTAGAAGTGTACACCTATTCTATTGGTATGTAATCCTTATTTTCAACCGTTTTATATGAATTTTAATTTTATAATTGTTGTGGTACTTAAATGTTGATCTTATGGATTGTTTTTTAGGGAGAAGATGTTGATGCTGATATTGAATCTGTGGACTTTTCTAAGTTTATGGTGGCAAGCAACTAGTTAGTATGTTGGAACTGTATGATCATGGATGGACCAACTATGTTGCATGGTTGATACTTTTGATGAACCTGATATGTATTAATCATATATGGTTGCATAATGGTGGACGTCACCTTCTGAAATTAATGTAGCGTAAGCATTATAAACATGTGTGTCCTATTTTTTAGTAGCTCGCGAGCTAAACGAGCCAGCTCGAGCTCGGTAACGAGTCGAGCCGAGCTGCCCCTCTAACTTGTAATATTAACCAGCCGAGCCGAGCTAGCTCGTTAGCCTAACGAGCCAGCTCGATCTGGCTCGATATCCAGCCCTATCATTAGCATCGTAGCGATGCTCTATCATCTGAAGTACATTGAATTTTCATAATCATAACCAGTTCGATGCCATGTAATAATGTCATTCAAAGAACTTTAATGGTAAGATTTAAAGCGAAAAAGAAGTAAAAGCCCCATGCATTCCTTAGGATCAAGGCATTTTCCAAATATAACAAAATCATATTTTATCTCAATTGTATATGTTAAAGCCACACAACTTGAAAATGTCATGCCTTGAAACATTTAATTGATCGGTATTACAAATTCATTGGACATAAATATCCGGCTCAACAATAAAAATATGAAGCACGCTTGTATCTTCAACCTGACACCATCAAGAAGGCTAGTTTTTCAGAACAAGTTTCAGAAAAAACCAAGTAGCAACCAAACACTTAATTAATAAGTGGGTCTTATGAGTATGGAGAGCACAATCATCGAATTTACTTCGCTTGATCCATTTTGAAGACCAAAATTTGTCTCCCATTTACAAAGATATGTAGTATCTACGTCCTATTTTGATGTTTTAATATAAAATGTTGTCATCAATTTTAATTGAATATCACAATAACGTGTCATCATATTTGATATTCCATTAATTAACTTGTATGTAATCTATATATCTACAAAGAATGTCATTATATCCTTCATGCTATATATAGACTTATACGGGAGTCAATCCAAATGCAAAGAGGAATTTTGCCTAGTGGATAGTTGCACCACAAACTCTATACATAGGGAAGCAAAATATTTCTAAACTCTTACATAGAGACAAGAAAATATTTTGTTAATCGCTTAACGCGATGTTATGATAGTGGGCTTTGGTCGTCCTACTATCATACTCCCTATTGGTACTCAAATAATAATCTAAATCCATTCTTTTATTCTGATTCCATAATGTACCCAATTAAAATTATAGAAATATCTGTCAATTTGGTTTTCATATGGAAACCCCAAGATGACAACTAAGAGGAGTATTTTCTCTGAACAATGGATATGGCAATACTTAAACAAAATATCCTTAGTTGGATTTGACTACACATACATAATATGTATCCAATGTTGCGTATAAAATAATTCTCTCTCTTGATGTTAACAAGACTTGGCACATTTGCCTTGGTTATTCAATTATAGAGATAACGTGAGAATTATTGTCAATTTATTGGTCATAGCATCAATATGAGCCACTAAATTTCTTGAAGAAATTCAAGAACATACATGTGACTCTATTTACCATTTTATGGGCCATAAAGATACTATGTAATGCACATTTATTCATCCATAATATAGTCCTAGGTGTGTCTCTTAGTCATGAAAACCACCACTATACCAAACTCATTGCTCGAAATCTTTAATTTAGAGCAAATCATCCTGGACGCGGGACTAAATCCATTTTATATGAAACTGTTTGGTTTTTGGGTACTATATATCAAGTATCTTATGTCCATACCCATAATGGTTTGATTGAGTCTCTTATTGAGATTCAAATTGCGTGACATATTAAGATAGAATTGTAATTTACCAGCACTAAGTTGTTTTCATGCGGCCTTACACACCGCATCGTTAATTCAAATTCATCAAGCTGCACTTATACAACTCTCTCCGTTGCAGTATGTACGTGAAACTTTGGCCGCAGCCAAACATTTCCCATCTACGCATCAAGTATGTTTTCACATACCCATATCACCACTCCAACATACCAATGGGCATTAGGGATCTCAAGAGGTAACTCTGTAGGGGATTTACAAATTGTCCTATGTTGATCACATTTGAGGACAATTTCAGGCATTAGGGGAGATTTATACCGCATTAAGAATGACAGGAATCAAAAAAGCAATCCTCGCATCCACGTACCAAAGATTCTAAACCTAATCATTTAGAATATCTTATATTTGCATCTGTTGTAAAGAATCTGTCAGAAATATTTACTGATAATAAGGGTGTCACAAAATCCTCTTATCCTACTTATAATGCGCCTGAAAGAATGGAGGTACCAATTAAAACCATTCAACTTCCACTTCCAAAGAAGAGGATAAGTACGGCCGCTCCTAAGGATAATGCTCCAAGTAAGCGTCCGAGGATACCAAGGACAAGATCCTCCAAATCAGTAAATCCAAGCCAACCTCAAGTTGGTAGACAGCCAAATTGATGAGCATCCAAAACCCGGATCAAAATCCACCTGGATCAATGGTGTACCCAAATTCTGATTCTGGGGCATTAGAACACCCTGACTCCATATGGGAAATGACTCGGAGTTCAAAAGGTTAACATTTTCACATGCTATATTGATTCCAAGCAATGAATCAATCATTTAAGGACTACAAATTGTCGTGATATATACTCCTCAAAAAGATTGCTTTTTCACCTTATTAGATCCAGACCAAAAGTCCTAGGCAGAGTGTCTTCACACTCCAATTTGGTCAAACTAAAAGGTGGCAATTAATGAGAAGTGTCTTATTCAATGATGAGAAGTATTACCACAATAATATCTTCTCTCACATAGTCTCTTTTCATAAGCAAGGTGGCAAACAATGAGAGCTTGTAGCATATGGTTTCATGTAGAGACCCAGTATAGCATACCCCATGGTATATGTGAAAATAAAGTTTTTCAAATTCAATAATTGGTAGATCAAATGAATTTGATAGATTCGGACGTATAAGTCCCAATGGACTCCACATTCTGAATCTAAATACAAATCGCAACATACATTGTGTATAATTAAGCATAATCACGTATATTGATTATTTTAATATCATCATGATACCGAAATAATTATGCAAACATTTGAGATACAATTTCTATCATGTAGATTCGAGATGGAGGATTTGGGTAAGACCAAATATTGCCTAGGCTTACAGCCTGAGCACCGTCCTTCAGGGATTTTAGTGCATCAATCAGCCTATATCCAGAAAATATTGAAAAAATTCAATATGAACAAATCATATCATAACAAAACCTCAATGACCGTTCGTTCTTTAGAAATAGAGAAAGATCCATTTAGACCATGGAATATTGGAGAAAAGATATTGAGACCGATGTTCCATATCTTAGTGTTATTGGAGCACTTATGTATCTTGCAAATTGCACCAGGCCTGATATCGCATTTGCAATGAACATACTAGTTAGACTTAGTGTAAATCCAACTCACCATCATTAGATGGGAGCGAAGCATATCCTCATATATCTTAATGGCACAAAGGATCTTAGTTTATTCTTTAAGAGAAATCATGATCCCAATATAATTGATACACGGATGCTGGTTACTTATCTGGTCCCCATAATTACGAATCTCAAATAGGATTTGTATTTTTATATGGAGGTACAACTATTTCATGAAGTCTTCTAAACAGAATCCGACGGCAACCTCTACTAATCATTCTAAAATTATTGCTCTATACGAGGCATCACATGAATGTGTATGACTTGGTAGAATGATTAACCACATACAACAGTCATATGGTAATGGTTTGATTGAATCACCTACAATTATCTATAAAGATAATTTCGCTTATGTTACATAGATGCAAACAGGTTACATAAGAGTAATGTCACTAAGCACATTGCCCCTAAGCTGGTTTATCCCCATGAATTACAAGGGAAATAAACATCTTGCAAATCAAGTCATGCGATAATCTTGATGACCTATTTACTAAGTCCTTACCAACATCTATATTTCAAAATTTATACATAAGATTGGTATGCGACTACTTTGAAATTTGCAAGGATCAGGGGGAGACATCTCTTAGATTCTAACATGTACCAGTATCATATTATACTCTTTTCTTTCACAAGTTTTACTCACAAGGTTTCTTGTTAAAGTTTTTAATGAGGTAATATTAACATAAGCATGTGTCATATTTTCTATTTTCTCCACCGTAGTTTTTGTAGGAAATATCAAAGACATATATTTCCTCTCCAACTCATCCATGTGTTTTTCCTGAAAAGGTTTTTCATGTGAGTTATCCAAGAGACAATACCAATACTATGTCGTCATATTTCTCCTAATTTTTCCATTGTATTTTTATAGGAGTTTTAGCGGCATATCACCTTATATTGCTCCTCACATTTTTCCTGAAAGATTTTTGGGGAGTTATCTTTATATCGTATCTCAATATTTTTCCCCACTGGGGTTTTTAATGGGATACCAATGAAATAGTGGTTTATTTAAACCACAAAAACAATTATGCTATTTTCTTCTTATTTTTCAATAAAGTTTAAAGGAGTTTTTATGGCATATCCATATATTCCTCAGATTTTTTTCGTAGGGATTTTTTCGAGGAATTTCAGTTTATAATTGCATTGATCCCAAGGAAGATTCGATCAAGGGGGAGTGTTGTGAAACGACACCTATACGCGAATAGGCGTCTACAGACGAACAAACGTCTCTTCATGAGTGATCTCATCCATCAAGCTCATGATTAGTGGATAGGATTAAACAATTAGTTTTAATCCCAAAGGGCATGCTTTTTGGGAACAGTCGTGTCCCTTCGTGACACCCCTTCACTTATATAAATATATTTCAGAGATCAATGAAAGCATTAATTTTTTCAAATCTTGTTCATTTACATTCACACTTTTAACAGGAGTAAAGGACCGTGGGCTCGGAAGAAAGACGCACGCGGCTGGCTGCATGCAACGGGAGAAGAAAGGAAAATGCGTGTGACTCGGTCTAACGGCGTAGGACGGAGCAACATTTCATGCAATTATTCCGAGATGAAAACTGTCCTATTGGCTTACGATAAACCAGAGAAAAAATATTGTTAATTTGTTGAGAGAAAAAATACGGTTTTATAAAAAAACGGTTTATAAACCAACGAACGATTTAACGAAGGGACGTTCTTGAGAACACGCGGTAATTAATGTATTCCTTGGTCTTTGCAATTTTTGAGTTGCGCGTCTAGTATCCTGACTCAGAAGGAGTAACTTCTAATCGCTATGTTCTCTCTTTTTTCGCTTTCTATGCCCTGTTCACTTGGCTTATAAGCCGTATTTTTTCATCCAACGAATAATATTTTTCTCTCACAATAAAACAATCAACAGTACTTTCAACCATGGCTTATCAGTCAAGCGATCAAGGCACTATTCCATGTTTACTTCCACAGGTAAACGTTTTTCAGCGATCTATCGATACGTGAGATGAACGTTCCAGTTGGTGTGACAATTTGACCAGTGATTATATATGCTTGCTCCCTTCGGACTGATTCGATTTTTTGCAGAGGCTGCAGTAAATTAATGCGCCGAATCAATTTCCAATTTAAGTTTCACCGAGTCGAGTTCAAATTTGCTCCGCATTCTAAATTAACTTGGTGGGGGCATTTGTTTGACATGATTCTTTTACATTTTTTTTATGAAGGATCTTGTTAATTCACAATTATTACATCAAGTTGATACACTAAAAGTAAATACTTTTCCAGCTTCTGCATAAACACAATACCATAAGCCTAAATTTTGATAGCAAACCAAACTAGAAATGCTCGTCCAGGGAAATTAGATTTGGTATACATTCACAAAACGGGTGACCAGATGCCAGGTCACAAAGAACAATTTGGATAATCACCTCGTCAGGCCAGTGCAGGGAAAATTGAACATCAGATGCACGCACACGCCACATTTGTCCGAGATAACAACACTTCAGATTCTCCGTCAATACAAAATCATCAAGTACTAAATCATTAGATTAAATAATACAAATTCATAGTTCGAGAGATAGTACAAATTCATTCAGAATAAACAGCCAGTAGGAAGTTCCAAACCTTCATCAGTATTTTTTCAACTAATTTAGAAACGGGACCAATAAACAGTGACTTCCAACATACAGCTACCAATTCGCAGTTCCTTAGAGCTTGTACTCATTTGCAGAGGTTTGAAGTCCTTTACATCCCTATAGACATCAGAACCATTCCTAGCAGCAACGAAAACTATCAGCTTTCCATGAGCTTCGATAGAAACAACCTGCCGTGCCAGCCTGATTTCATTAGGGAAAATTGAACATCAGAGTCAAGCAACACAATATGTTGTTTTTGTCCGAGATAACAAAACACTTCAAAACCATCTGGCCATGTCCCAGAAGCAATCGCACTCTGACTAAGCTTCCATAGAATTAAAGTAAGATACAAATTCATCAATTTCAGTGAGATAGCCTACGTGTAGGATCGCAGAATAAACAGCCAAGGTAGGGAAGGTCCCAACCTTCTATCAGCTTAATTTTTATCATCAGATCTAGTAGCACCCTTCACATACAATGAAGCCTCAAAGATCACAAGACCATATGCCATGACAGTACGCACAGGGCCTGTCAATACTAAGCATGGATTCTGCATGCAATACCATAAATAAACAGTAAGTAAACTAAGTAAAATAATTGAGCAGCAGCATAATAAATACACACCAAAAAACTAAAAGAGGCGAAGTGCATTGCATAAAGTATACCACAAATGATGGGAGACAGATATTTGCTCCATGGTTTCAGCCATACACAATTTTAAAAGGGACATTTGTTGCATGTTTGTAACACAAGATCAAAGAATGTTTTTTTAGAATAATTGTTGCCACTTGCAAACAACCATGAAACATTTTCTTGCTGAAATACATTGGAAACTGCTGGCACCAAAACATAAACCACAGAATTCAAACAGATTTGAGGGGTAAATAGCAAAATAATAAAACATTGTGGGGGCAGACGCAAAGGATATAGAATTATTAGCAAGAAAATAAGTTTATATCCCCCCCCCCCCCCCCTCCAAAAAAGAGACACCCACACCTGACAACAGTAACATACTTCCTGTTTCCATCTACAAGGATACATAACATAGTTAAAATTCATTCCCACCTTATATTCATCTACCAGTATGTTTGTACAAGATCTGAGCTCTCTACATAATTCCAATATAAGTAATGCATGGCAACTCTGGGCATGGGAGTCCTGGCAAAATTTTACAAAGCAATAATACAATAACACCATCTATAATTCATCCTTCTGAGGATAAAGAGCAGTTGGCAATAGAATTAGAAGATCATTTGGGTTCAGAGAAACAATGGGTACAACAACGGCATAGTACTAATTACTAAATACATACATGATTGGATGCTAACAACAAGAACAAGTACACAGGGAGCATAAGTAGGAAATAGGCACATTGGCAATATTAGAGAAAGAGAAGTGGAAATAGGCACACTTCGGAACTGATCTGTGAGTATCTGACAGTTATGCCTTTCGCGCTTGAAGATAATATTACGACTGAGATCAATCGAGTCCCGTAGAGCAACCATACCAAACACCTCAAGCGGCCACTTTAAACCTTCAATTATTTCTTCAACTTTGACTGAAAATACTTGTAGAGTACTGCACACAATGCCACCCTGTGCAGCAAGATTATGTGTAAAACGTTTGCAAGGGATGTTAGCTGCATGTAGTTGAAGTAGATATCAGATGAGTTTAGGATGTACAACCCCAGTTGCAGGCAGTACCTAGTAAGCACTAAGCAGTAACAATAAAACTAAATATGTGCATAGATTGCATATAAGCTCATTTTTGTTCATTGATCCAGTTCTGATCCTTTTAGATGTATATCATTTGAGATCAAAGGAACGCCATTGTAGATTGATATTATAGGAGTATTTAGTATGAAATTCGAAAATACAAGGAGTACCAAAGCAACAAGAACCAACTAACTAATTAATGCATGAGTCAAGAATGAGATAATTGAAAGTCTAACTCACTGTTCTTATCGAAGCCACCATAGACCTCCAAATAGATTTTGTCCCACCTCTTTCTGAACATCTTAGCTTCGAAGGCTAAAGGATCTGTTATCTCCTCTGGGTCCCGATCACGTTCTTTCTCATCCTGCCTCCTCTTCCACTCCAAATACTTCTCATACCCCCTCTTAACTTCTTCCTTAACGGGCTTTATCTTCGTCGCCGCCATTTCGCTTCTCACTTCGCCTTCTCCTTTGAAGGTTCCTTTCCTTGCAGCTTCCCTCCCCTCCTCGCCTTTGGGATCTCCCTCTGTTTCCTTCAGCCTTCTCTGCTGATCTGCAATCTCCGCATCGGAATCGACCTTCCCCATCTCCTCACTCTCCCTAGACAGCTGCTTCATCTCCAGGACGTCTGGATCATCCACTTTTTCATTCATCCTTCTCACCCAGTGGCAGATCTAAGATTTTTGCATGGGGTATGTCAGATCAAAATTTTCATATCCAAACCGGTAAAAGTAGCATAAAAATTGCCCAGCAACTCAGTATACAAATACTAAAAACTGCCACGCGATTCAGAGCATATATGCATAAGTAATAAACCAATACATCCCCGCTAATTTCTATAATTCTACTACCTACATACATCTACAAGCTACATCAAAATATCAAATTAAATCAGAAAAAGTTAGGGTTAGAGATTTTGTAAGCAAGAAGAGAATGGAGGGGAAGAGGGTTCTCAGTTCTCACCAGGCTTGCCGCCGGCCGGGCTGGAGAGCGGACGACGCGGGAGCTGGTGGGCGCGCCGGCGTGGCTGGAGACGGCGGCGCGGGGACTTGGGGGCGGGCCGGTGCGGCTGAAGACGACGGCAGACAGCGCGGGGACTGCGGGCGTGGAGGCGGAGAGCTGGGGCCTGGCTCCCTGGGGAGTCCGCCGGCGTCTTAGGGGCCGACTCCCGACTGGGCCGTCGTCGCCCGTCGCGAGGAGGCGGACAGGTGTCGAGGAACCTGGGTCGGGCGATGCGCCTGCCTTGGAAAGCAGTAATATTCTTGTTGGGCTGGACGCCTGGACCTCCATTTTTTAATTTTAGCCTTTTTTTAAAAAAAATATCACGTTTACACCCCTACCAATCAAAATCCTGTCTTTGGACCTAGAGGCTCGGCATCGTGGCCTATGGCGCTAGAGTAGCACGGCAGGGACAGGGGATGGGTAGGGTTACGAGAGTGGTGTATATATATATATATATATATATATATATATATATATATGTGAGTTACTTTTTATTAGGAAGCTAGCAAATATACCTGTGTGTTGCAATGGAAGAAAAAAAGAACTACTCAATCTATCCTAAATTGTAAGACGTTTGACTTTTTGACACCAGTTATTCTAACTTTATGACCACCGACTATCATCTAAATCGTATCATTATCTAAAAATGTATAAAAATATCACTTTCCTTGGAGGCTCGTGGTTTGGTTTATTAATAAAAATTCTTCAAGAATGACCAAATTTGACTATATTTGCACAAAATTTTGAATAAGATTGCAAGAAATGGTCAAACATGAGACCGAATAAATAAATTCCTAGGTCAAAAAGTCTACAAATAAAAATCTCTACAATTAGTGGTAGGATGGACATTTATTTTCCTCAATATCCCCCTTCCCATATTAAACATTTATGCAAATGTGTGTAGTAAATGTTATAACGTGAATGGTACATATCTACTTATGTTTTATGCTTTTATATTTTACTAGCAAAAATATGACCGTGCGTTGCGACGGGAAAAATCCATCAAATGTTCATGGAAAACATAACAACGAAATTATTCTACATATTTATTTATGCTAGGAAACGTGTTCATGAGTTGTACGAACCCAATTAAGCTCGCAAATCGAACTTCTTATCATCGTTAGATAGAGTTATTCTAACTTGTATGAACACGGACTATCATCTAAATCGTATCATTATCTAAAAAATATATAAATCCTATACCCTTTCCTATGGATGCTCGATTATCTACCATAAATCTACCCATCCTTAATTCATTCTCATCCATTCACCCATCATTTTTTATAAACTATGTTCTCCAAACCCTAAGAACCTATTTGGAAGAAGAGACTATTGCAAGAAATCAGGAGATCGGTAAACAAAAAAAAAGTACTCACTCTGTCTCTGAATAAATAAATTCCTAGGTCAAGAATTTATCTACAAATAAATCAATCTCTAGGAGGCTCAATGGTCCACCGGCACATTTATTTTTCCTCAATATCCCCTCCCATCTCCCGATTCATTGTTGAGTTTCTGCAGTTAGATGTGTGTAGTACATGCTATAATTATTATCTATTGGAATAATCACCGATCAGTGTGCAATTACTCTAGTTAATAAGGATAGTATGAACATAAAAGACGTATGTACCCTCATTTTATTCCTAATCGGACACTATCATCAATGTGATTAATGGTGATTGGTTGATAAATGGAAAGTATTTAATGTAAAATTGGTTTTATCCTCTAAAATACATTATATTTGAGGATAATTTTTTAATGCTATAATGCGCTGTATTACAGGACGAAAACGGTACTAATCTGTCATAGATTTGTTAGAAATTTATTTATTCACCAGGGATAGAGGGAGTACACATATGGGTGTTTTGCAAACGCATGAATCTATCTATATGACATGAATAGAAAGTTTGAAACGCCACGCGGATGACGAGAGAACTGTTAGTACTTAGTGATGATTAAATTAGGAAAGATGATGTAATTATGACATGGTTACCAGTTTAGCAAAATTGATATGATACTTTAATTTTCAATTGGATAGTATTTCATATGGGATCGTCACGTACCAGACTCACCTCTTTGTGCTTATCTCCAATTTTCCCATTGGTACAGCATTTTTTTTCCTGCTCCCGCGCCCAATCTCCAGAGCTCTTCTTTGATCCCTTCTTGTCTGATCCAACTTTGATTCCGACTTTTAGAGCAGCACCATCGAGCCTTTCTTGCAGCAGCAGCTCCTCTCAATCCCTGTGACCGAGGACCTCGAGCCAGGGGCGGTGGTGGTCTGGTGCATGAGCTCTCCTTGAGGCGCTGCGTTGCGCCGTGCCGATAATGGGACGCACTCCATTGGCGCGACACCACACCGAGACTCCCCCGCCGCCACCGCTGGGGCATGGCCACGGGGCACCCTCCTCTCCTCTGCCCTGCTTCTCAACTTCGAAACGCGCACCTACGCTATGTCGTCACGGTACAGTGCGAGCGGCCACGCAACCGAGGGAGCATACCAGGCTAGCGTGTTGAGCTTGCACGACGACGGTTGCCCGCGGGCTGGGGCGAGAGCGCGTGCAGCTGGAAGCACAGCTAGCGGCGCGATCACGCGGTGTCGATGGGCGAGGCTGGCACACTCGGCCGGGGGTGTAGGCAGTGCGCGAGTCGCGTGAACGGAACGCTCTGCGCCAGCCACGGCAAGGCGCGGCTGCACCTAAGCTACGTCGGACGTGGTCCTCTTTCAGATTTGATGGCCTCTTTGATCTGATTTGTTAGAGAAAGATAAATTAATATATATAATAATATATAATAGAGAAAGGAATAGGCAAAGGAATATGGAAGAAGAACAGAATTGCGTTGATTCAGGACACCGCGTGAGAGGGTGTCAGCGGAATGGGTCTGGACTCCACGATTGTCTATGGGGTGGGTTAGGAAAATGGATCGGATACGGACGGATATCACTGATATTATATTTATGTTCGAATTCGGATTTGAATATGGATAATATCAACTATGTCCGATAGGATATTATTGGGTATCGACATAAAAAAATACGATTTGAGTATTCGGATACGGATACAATATCGGATGTTGAATATCTTGAAAAAAATACAGTAATCCACGGATAGATTTGAAACCTCTGAATGAAATTATTGTAACTTCAGTATAAGTTACATAATATTTATGAGAATTGTGCTTACGGCAATACTAATAATATTGAACAAGAATTTCAAAATAATATTTACGAGAAATCCATACAAATCCGTGCGGACAGAGCACAACGACGGAACAAATATGGGATATTTGTTGGAGAAAATAGAAAAGGCAGGTTGAAAGACACTTTGCTCGGATTAGAATTAGAATTCCTATTTAGTGAAGCCATTTTTTTTTGCTTCACGGGCATCTAAAGACAGTCCACCGATGAGCCACCAACGACTTTTTTGATGCATCGTTTGGTGAAAGCTTCCTATGACATGAAACGGGAAGGTTTACCGGAGAGATGAGGAGGAGGAGGGAGGAGAGAAGCCGCTTTTTTGGCTCCATCCCACCCCCAATCATTGTGAAGCAGGGTGTTTTAGGGGCTTCATAAGTATTTTACTTTACCCCGTTTGCCGGAATCCCATGAGGATGATCCAAACACCTCGGGGCGATCAGGAAGACGCCGTCAGGTGTCGGGGCCTTAGATTAGTCTCACGATCAAGCAAAAAAATCTATTTGGATTAGGATTCTTCGCTATTTAGATTACCTAAAACAACTTGCATATGAATGCATCATGCATTAGGGATGAGCACGTGCTCGGGAGTTATATATATATATAGTTATATATATATATATATATATATATATATATATATATATATATATATATATATATATATATATATATATATATATCCGGTAGTTAGAGGGATATGGACTAAAGAATAGATGGACAAAAAAATAGGTTAAAATTTTGCCTCTTTATTAATAGATATAGATATGCTAGGTACCTGGGATAGTGAGCTTTTGTTGGGCTTGTAGAAAAAATTGGGTCGGGGTGTACCACGCCACGTGCTTGGAGAGCGGCCCAAGCATGGGCCAGCCCAGGCCCGCGTAGTACCATGCCATGCCGTGCTCGTGACGGGCCAAAATAATGGGCTTCGCACCGGGTTATCGGATTGCGGGCTGCATGTGCATGGCCATCTATAGCAACAGGTGCTTGATCAGCCTACAGGATTCGATGCTGGTGAGCACAAGGAACTACAGGGAAGCATGGCTAGATAGAACAGCATCGAGATCAAACTCCAAAAGTGTGGAGAAGAGTTGGACGTCGCTACGGCGAGTTAGCATTCCAGCAAAAATCAAACTTTTCATTTGGAGACTGGCGAAATCATTACCTAGAGGGGATGTCCGTCATCGCACGCACATGGTAGATTCCTCGAAATGCTCTATCTGTGGTGCCCAGGACTCCTGAAAACACTCGATACTCGAGTGCACTATGGCAAAGTGTGTCTGGGCTCTTGTTGATGAGTAAATTACTGAACATATTTGATGTGTTTAGGAACCTGATGCAAGAGGTTGGATTTTCTCATTGATAGATTCCTGGGTGACCAGAATTACTAGAAATACTCTCTGGACTGCATCTAAGCATATGCTAGATCAAAATTCACAGATCGGTGGGCTTTGCAACTGCTGCATTTGCTTTAGCAGTTCTTGAGGGCAACACACAACCAGGAGTTTGGTTGCCAGAAGAGGTGAGTAATGCTTCCTTAGAGTGAAATGAAAAAAAAAGTTAACAAAAGACTTTATTTCTCAAACTAAACTACCTCAATTTGTTATAATGCAGCCAGAGGGAATACCGATAGAAGCAAGGAAGCTGCTTCTTGAGCGTGCATCTCAAGGGACAAGTACCTTCGTGATGAACAAGTGATTTCTCTTTCCCCAGTCTAAAAGACAGTATATGTGTCCCAATTCATGTTATGTTTCAGCTAAACATGCTCATCCACTTGAATTGACAGGCCTTCCTGGATGGTAGAAACTGATCCAAAGGAAGTCGGCCTAGGAATTTATGTGTGAGAAGACTGACTAAATTCTTGGGTGCTTGAAAAAGGCAACTAAATCTTGGGAGTAAGTTTCCATCCGCGAGAAGTTGAATGCGAGAACCAGAAGCATGTTGAAAGTCCCCAGATTGAGCGTGATGTTTTATATGATTGGTTGGGCTATTTTATTTTCGAAAGGGTTGTATATGAACCATGATGGTTATGAAGAAAAAGAATGCAGGCCAATAACACAATTTTGTTCACCACACAGGTGATAAGCCTGTAACTTTTCGTTCTTCAAACCTAAAGAACCATGATGCAACATGATGCAAAACGATAAACTAGCATGTTGTGTTTCTGAGTTAACCTGTTGTGCCACTTGAATAGGCAGTCCTTCATGGATACTGTGAGACCCAGCCCATTTGGCCAGTTGGGCTGGACCAAATTCACGACACTGTAGTGATAAGGTACTAGTATTCCCAGTTTAGGCCCGGACGTAAGAGGCTGTTAACTTCAGATCAATCCTTTTGCGTGAAGCGAGGACAAAAGCACAAGAGAGTTAATTAGTAGGTGTGGCTCATTCAATGTGTAGAGTGGGCCTTAGCCGTCTTCCCAGGTCGGGACGTTACAAATGGTAATCAGAGCCAACTCTCGTTGTTTTCACGATTGCGTATGGTCCGAAAGCCTAGACATGTTGTGCATGGCTCCAGAGAGGACATGACACTTGGGCCAGGGAACTAGAAATATGGACGTGGCCAAGAGAGTTGATCCTGAACATTTGTGCCATATAAATTGGTTCGATAGCTCGACGAAGACGTCGAATCCTTTAAGGGTGGGTGGATGTGAGACCTAGCCCATTGGGCCAGACCAAATTCGCGACACTATAGCGATGAGGTACTAGTATTCCCAGTTTAGTCCCATACCGAAAACGGAATGAACGCTAGACCAGCTTAAAAGCTTGGACCTGAGAGGCTGTTAACTCTGGATCAATCCTTTTGCGCGAAGCGAGGATAAAAACGCAAGAGAATTAATTAGCAGGTGTGGCCCATTCAACGTGTAGAGCGGGCCTTAGCCGTCTTCCCAGGTTGAGGCGTTACAGATACATGACATCAGTCAACTTAATATGTGTAATTTTTTTTCAAGAATATTGGAGGAATTTACAGTTGGCAAGAAGTTGAAAGCGACAATAGGCACGCTCGAGCCTGTCTGTCAAGAAAAAAAGATGACAGCAAACAGCAGGTTCAAGACCCCCATGGTTTCTTGGTGTGTATGATCACCAGCACTGTTTTGCTTCAGCAATGTTTGTGCACAAAAGATGACAATAGGAACCAAGTTGACAGTGGACACCTATCAAACTGATTCTGTAAAACATCTGCTCTTTTTGCTGTCCCAAAACCATTTATTTGATTACCCTATCACGTGGGATTGTTTAGCTAACAAAACTATTAGGTACTACTATACCCTACAGAAAACATGCTCAAGACTGAAGTGTGACAGAAAGCATAGCACAGGTTATGCGGTGGTTGGAATCATAAGTCAAAATCCCAACGACTACTTGCGTAGTCGTATTTTTCTGTTCTGGTATTGATATGGATATCCAGAAATTAATACATTTTAGTAGGGTAGACCGTAGACCCCCAGGCCCCAATTATCGAGGCCCATACAGTGATGCAGACTACTGTACTGAGGTCAAGATGTTTTGCTTGTCCCGGAATGCTCTGCAGTGCCTTTACAACGCAGAGAGAACCGACTAAACTTTGTTCGCATCTGAATTTATCGCATGACAGACAGACTGTTGCCTACCAATTCTTGTCCAACAATGGTCTACATTGCCATTGATTTTGCTGGAAACACCCTGTCCAGTAGAGTATAAACACCTCCACCAAGTAGAAATGCACCACTGACAGGAAAATGATAGTATGTTAGATCAAGACAAATCTCTATAGAAGGAAATATAATATTTTAAGGATCAATTGATATTTGATAATGATCTCAACTTCAGACAACAAACTTTTGACAAATAGGCGAGTTCAGTAGTTAGTTTGCAAAGATATTGACATATGTTGTATAAAAAACTACAATAGTAACATATGTGCCCTTTTATGTTTTTTTTCTTTTTCTTTTGGCAGCCAATCTATGTACCTAAAGTCCAAGAGCTACAAATCTTTCTAAGCTGCACAATTTGATGTACATGTTCATGGGAGTGTATAATCAGAAAGTTAAATCAAAGCTTGACATATGTCTTCAATTTTAAAACCTTGACTATAAGCAAAAAAATGCAAAAGGATAATTGGAACAAGATCTAACCAGTTAATTTGCAGAAAAACACTCAGATTTCAAGAACAAGTAGATACCTGATTGGGTTTATCCATGCCGAGTATCTTCTGAATGACAACAAAAGACTACACAGACAAACATAATAATTAGTGGCACAACAGTAGAATAAACTACTTTGATCAATTGATCTTTTTGTGCTATTCTATATTCTTTTTGAGAAATTCAAAATTCCAATATTGTTTAATAAATTTCAACTCGGTTTGAACACCCACCATGAAGTTCTAATCAGAAAATTAATTAATTAATTAACAAAAGACAACATTTTTACCTGCAATGACTCCAGCAAAAAATGCAAAAGGATAATTGTAAAAAACAAGATCTGCAATAAGAAGATTTGCAGAAAAACCGTTGTGATTTCAACAATAAGCTAATACAATGATTGGGTTCCTAAAACAAGAAGAGTATCTTCTGAATGACAGGACAAACTCTACAGAAGACAAACATAATAATTAGTGGCACAAAGGTAGAATAAGCTACTTTGATCAATTGATCTTGTGCTATTACTATATTCTTTTTTGCGAAATTCAAAATTCCAATATTGTTTAATAAATTTCAACTCGGTTTGAACACCCACCATGAAGTTCTCAAGAAAATAAATTAATTAATTAATAAAAGACAACATTCTTACCTGCAATGCTCCAGCAAAAGAAGCTGCAATAATGTTGTAAAAAAAAGAAGAAGCTGCAATAAGAAGAGGTGCAACATAGCCCGTTGTGTATGTCAACAATAAGCTTCCTCCAATAATTGGGTCCTAAAACAAGAAGCTTAAAGTTGTGGTGACAGGACATCGTCATCATCTTAGAAAAAAAATAAGCTAGGAGAGCATATCATCTAAAATAAAGTACTGCAGGATAGAATATAATTATTAATTCCTGATTAATCTAAATCTCATGATAAAACTCCAATAAAATGTTCTTAATGTGTTGGATTTTAAACAATTGTAATAAATTATTGACTACTGAGGCAATTTATCATACTCTTGAAGTGGCAACATATCCCAGAAGGGTAGCAAGAACAGGTGTGCTGCAAGGTGATGCTGCCAATGCAAATGTAAGACCAGCAAGGTATGCTTGTACACCTGGCAATAATGCAACATAAGTTAAAAAAATATTCATGAACAAAGAGAATCATAGTGATATAGAGATTAGTATTTTAATAAGGAAAATAAAGATGATGTGAGGAGGTATCACCTGAAGGGAGGTTAGCTGCAGCAGCTCGAGGGTCAAAATCGCTGAAAAATGAGGGAAGATGCAATTCAAGTATCTGTTATGGACAGAAAATAAAAAGCTTGGGGCAGAACATTTGATAATGTAGTTACATGTACTTTTACAGGAGCAAGCAGGAATACAATTTTCATAAGAACGAACTATCACAAAAATTGGTTTGTACTTTTACAGGAGTATTTATAATGAGAAACCAAGAAATACAGGGATTAAATCAGCTCGTAACTTAAGGAAATAAGGTAGGAGGAAATTCTGTTTGGCATGCTCCAGTCTATATATGTAATTTTCGTTTCATGTGATTTACCTCCAGAAGATTAAATCCCATGATGATGGCCAAACCAGAAGCAGCCACTGGGGGCCCTTGTCCTACCTGACCATAAGCCTTTCCAGCAAAAGAAGCAGCAACACCAAGAATAGCTAAGGTTGTTGCTAGTCCTAATGAAAATGCAATTGAATTCCCATCAACCTAATAATAGACAGAAAAGCAAAGTCAATGCATGTATCAAGGGAAGTTCCCAGCTAGAACTATCAAGTTTTCAACATTATTAATAGCCTTAATTAGTCAAGTGAGTCCTTCAGTGAAGATAACTTTGTGGTAATGCATATCCTAACAGATAAATAGCAATACTTCAAGTTTTTCCATGGCATAAAGAAGTACAATTTTCCACTCATCTTAAATTACCTCAGATCGGCCTTTCCCTGAGCCAAATGCACCTAGATGTTTTATGAAGAAAGCACTGAATCAGAGTAATCAATGATGATCAATTCTGGGCATTCCAACGATCATCTCAAATAAAGCAATATAGTTACCTATATATCCTAGAGTTAACGGTAGAACACTGAGTGTACAAGGAGATAAACTAGTTACAAGTCCAGCACCAAAAATAACTGCCAAGCTGGAGAACCAAAGGTAAAGGTTAGTAAAACATAAAGAGATATGGGCAGTAACATAGAAAAAGAAAACAGACCTAGAGAAACTAAGAGCGGACAACTGATCTTGGACAGCCTCATTAGCCTGCTGCCCAGCTGAAAACAGCAAACCCCCAACCCAATCTCCAATGCCGATCCGTGCTGATGAGAAACAGGCCGTTTGCAGGAATTAACGAGATATCAATTAACAATTGTATTGACAGTCTAAGATATTGACAATCTTATTCATATTCTGCAAAGAGAAGCAAGAAGCAAGAAATAATAACTACGAGTTGGCTGCATCACATCAGTATGTGTTTGGTCGTTACTATAATCTTTAGATACATGCTACAGTTGCTGCGGTAAATAATTCTAATTGGCAGAATTACCCATGCTGTAACCACAACCTGACACATCAACTAGGAATGGGCCTTCATGAAAAAAAAACTAGGCATGGGTAACACCGTTCCATAAGGCACGCTGAAAAGGTGAAAGGGAACTAATTTTGAAAGCACATAAGCACTTTCGTGTGTAAGGAAAGCACATAATATTTTCCTCACCAAAGCCAAGGGATCCCATAGCTCGGCAGCATTTGCAGCGCCAGTTCGATCGATACATAAGCCGACCAGACTCCCCACTGCAGAAAAATCAGACTGATAAGCCAGCTGATAAGTTCAAGTGAACAGGCCCCTCGGAGCTTATCGACAAATAGTCCCGGAGATCAAGGCGCAGGAAACCTTATTTGAAGAGATACGGTTCATTCATGAGAATCGCCGACATAACACACATGCACATAATTTAGCAAGGAGTAATATTTATGCTAGTATAGGTTGACATGTGTGGCTGCTCAGACCGCTGCAAGGCGTTTGTATCCCAGAAACAATTGTTCTTTAATTGTGTCTGAAGTTTCTCAAAAAAAAAATCTATAGGAACAGGATCAGTACAATTTGAAATGATTCCTGCCATTAAGGAAGGCTGAAATCTAGGCCTACTGATAGAGAACAGCTCTACTGGTAATATTTCTAGAAGCCAACAACAATTTACTGGAAGCAAAACTTCAGAAGTAGTCGAACAGGGCACCAGTAACAGGATCAGTACAGTAATCGTCAGAGGAGAATTTGAAATGATTCTTGCTAGTAAGGAAGGCTGAAATCCAGGCCTACTGATAGAGAACAGCTCTACTGATAATATTTCTAGAAGCAACAACAATTTACAGGAAGCAAAACTTCAGAAATAGCCGAACAGGGCACCAGTAACAGGATCAGTACAGTAATCGTCCGAGGAAATTTTGGACATGATTCTTGCCAGTAAGAAGGCTGAAATCCACGCTCTACTGAAGAAGATGCTAACATAGACAGCTCCGCTGATAGTGATAGTGGGAAGGAGCAGCAGACTTCACTCCGCATCAGGTTGAGGGGGGAGCTCAGGATGCTGAAATCCAGGCTCTGCAACTGGTTCAGCGTTCCTCTTCATCATTATCTTATTCAGTTGAGTTCTCTCCTCAAAACTCTCTCCTATCAAAACTCACTCATCTCGCCCAAAGCTCCAACCACGTAATGTGTTAAGTGCCCTCAATTCATGTGAGCCTGGTCTCCTCACTCTAATGTTGTGAAAAGGATTACGCTGGCAACGGGGGTTCACTAGAGTAGCAGCTCAGACCATGAGGCCCCAGTCGTGCTATCATAGACTACCATCAAGCTCAGATGAATCCTCGTCATCCTGTGGCTATACGAACCATCGCCTCACCAAAAATCAATAACCTCCATCAATAGCCTCAGTAATGCCTCCTTCACTCTCTGGTTATCAGTTGATCAAGCAGTCTTCCTTTTTGTCACGCCCACAATCTTTGAACCCAGATAGTACTTCAAACATGTGCGAGATATAGATGCCTCCGGGTTTTGTTTCATCGCTGCATGCAGCGGTCACCATGTAAGCAACTAAGAAAAGCAATATATAAGCACACAGATAGTGATTGACCTGTCACCATGTGAAATTGAAACCCAAATCGACTGCATTATCTTCTGTCTCCTTTGGCAGATCAATTATATAATGTACCAGGATAATTGCCCTCAACTAAAAGTTCGACGAAATGCTACGATGCTGCATCGCTCTTATCAGAACATCAACGGCATAACCGGCTTTCCAGTCGTCGATAAATACATGGTAATTTTTTGCCATGAAAAGCTTAGAGAAAAAGAAAATAATAACCCGCAACGCTTTTGGAGATGGTATAGGGCGCTGTCCCTAAAAAAATTCATGATAGATTATGAGTAAATTGAGGCAATATACTATTATTAATTGGAAATAATAATAATAAATTGTTCTAATTTTTAAAAAAAAAAAACAATACTTTGGTCCTAAATTCAATAGGATATAATCATCATTAGCAATAATAATAGTTTAGTTTGTAAAACAATACTTAGGACCTGTTTGGTTGGCCTCTCCTAAAGTTTAGTCAGCTAAATCTAGCCCTATTTAGTCACTTTTCACCCAAACACTATAATTAAATGGGAGTAAATGGGTTTTAGTCAACTAGTCACCAAAATATTGCTAAAAGGGACTAAACCTCACCTTTTAGTCACTTTGAAGCAAAACACCCCGGCTAAAATGGATTAAATCTTTTAGTCCGTTTTAGTCACCCAAACTAAACACCCAGTGACTAAAGTTTAGTCTCTTGTTGAGATGACTAAAATTTAGGAGGAGGAAACCAAACAAGGCCTATTTCTACCACTATAAAGGTATATATATATATATATATATATATATATAGTGCAAAATCTTAATCCTACCTGCCCCGCAATCATGAAAAGGTAACCTCCCAAACCGAAAAACTGCATATGTCCTTATAAAGAATAATATAAATAACCCCTAAACTTACATCTAAACTACAAACATTAGCTATTAATATAAACTAACCTAAAATAGCCTCTAAATTTGTAGGTATATTATCTGCATTATATAATATATATTTTAAAAGACAGTCCAATATAGTTCTATATATGCTTTCAAATTACTTAGTTTCTCATTGTTAATGTAGGCCATATATACTAGGTGGATGAAAGCAAATGAGCATTTCGATTCTGCAAAATAATACTAACTCCAATATTTTTAAGTAGTGCTAGCTAAACCAAAATTGTACTAACCAAAGTGTCATTTAACAAAGATCCGTGGGAGTAAAAAATATTATATGTAAATCATCCATCTATAAATTTATATGCAGGAAGTGATAGTCATACCCATCTATAAACACATGTCGAAATGCAAAGGGAAAATATATGAATGAGATTGAAAGTTTATGAAATAATTGGAAACTAAACGATATCACAACCTAATATAATGGAAGTGCTAGAGTAAGATTGCAATTAGTTGGGTCTTACTCTGAATCCGGTCTGCTCAGGCGCGTAAATCCTACGTTGTCCTCCTGCAGCCATCCTCGCCAACAACCGCCCAGCCATCCTAGCAAAGATGAACATAAGTAATTCTCAGTGTCAAAGAAGGAATTTTCTCCCTTGTGATTCGATGAGTTATTTGTAGAGCATAGAACTAGTAAGTGGTAGATTGCAGTTTCTCATGGTAGTCGTATGCAATACCAATTTAGGTGTTGGAAATTTAGCGATGCTAGCTAAGAAACAATTGTCTAGTGCCGAGAAAAGAAAAAAGATGAAAACAAGCATATCAATTTATTCCATCACAAAAGGGTTTTGTTTAAGTTCCTTTTATTTCTAGTAGTGTTGTTTCCAATGATAATTATAATGATGGATGAATCTAATATTGAAGAACAAGATCAACAGCAAAGTTTATAATTTAATAACAAAGAAAATCTCAATGATATAGCCTTGGAACGCTCATCTTGATCAAGAACTGTTGTAACTTGGCTTCGAGCGCAATCCTCTGGAACACACTGTCTACAAGCGTGGCACCACCGATTCTCTCCTTTTGGTAGGTGTCTATGAAGACGCATCAACGGACAACACAGAGAAGGTGTCATGGCGCTCAATGAGCAGATGCAGGAGCATGAGCGACCTTGGGGCCGCCTGCCGCCGGTTCGGCGGCCACCTCAAGATGCAAGCTTGAGCCTCTCAGCACTTCGCTGCCGTCGGCCGCAACCTCCCGCCTAAATCCGGCGGCGCAACCTCCCACCCGCCATTGCCGCCGGGTTCGGCGCCACACTAAGTCGCAAGGTGCAAGCTTTGAGCATGCTTAGGGCAGCCACCACCCGGCCACCTCAAGCTGCAAGCTTGAGCCTCTCGACTTCGCGACCACCCCTCAACCTCCCGCTTACAGGTGCAAGCTTTGAGCACCACCCGCCGCAATCCGCCGCGGTTCGACGGCCATCCCAAGCTGCAAGGTGCAAGCTTTGAGCCGCCCCAAGCTACAAGCCTGCAGTACTTCGTCGGCCTCTACCATTATACGACATGCCTGCTGCCAGTTCGCGTACACCCAATCTTCCAGCCCGTGTTCCACCTCCCTCGCTGACCGGAACCCATTCCGCCTCGCCATCCCCTTCCGCCCCGCCGTCCCGTGCTCCACCTCCCTCTCGCTGATCGGAACATTTTTTGCCCTGCCGTCCGAGAAAGAGCCCAGAGAGAAAGAGATCACGGAAACTTACGCCAAGAGCGCGCCGCCGATCCTCTCGCCTGACTGCTTGGAGCACCCCGAGCAGGAGTGCCGGCGCGTGTGAGGGGCGCAGGCAGGGACGACGCATACAAGAAGTCGAGAACTGTGAAGGTTTTTCAGCTGGCCCCTTCTAAAAGCAGCATTTTTGGAAATGGTAACTCAAAAAGTTTAGCTATTCGTACGTATGAGCCTGGTGCATGCAAGGCAACTATCCCCGGTTGAGCAATACCAAAAACTAAAAATAAATTAAAATCTTACAAATTCGTCAAAAGGTGAAAGAAAAAGAAAGAGTCTTTAGGAATGCAAGTGGAAAGCGGGACAAAAATACTATATAATTGAGGATGGGCATGTTAAGTGGAAAAATTGACAAGAACATAAAACAAAATTGTAAGAGTAAAGTTCACCGATGGTCTCAAACTTGATTTGTTGTGTCATTTCTATGCCTAAACTCACAAATCACATATTTAGATATCTAAACATTGTTGGGATCTTATTACCTATTCAAACGGGTTAGAACCCGCAACCCGATGATGATGTGGCATGTTAGCATGGACTCAGAAAGGTCTATTCGAATCCCCTCAATCACCAACCCCAATTCTCTTGTACGTCGTCAGTTCTCCCATCCTACCGCTGTTGCGCTCGCCCTCCCTGTCAATGAGAAGATCTACCGTTGTCATGCTCCCCTCCCCGTCCAGCTCGTCCGCGGCACAGTAGGCATGGAGCTAGGCTCGGTGTCTTCTAGCTCGTCCGTGTCACAGAATTAGTGGCAGAAGAGACCGGAGCTGCTATCATCCTGCATAAAAGTGCGGTCGGCACAGGGTGCTTGAGTTTGAGGTAAAAACAAACAAGAATGGTAACCAAGGTCATACTTTTTATAGGTGCCTAGATCGGAAGGTTAGTAGTTTTTCTTAATTTGTTCATATTTGACTAGTTTGGTTATGTTTTGATGTGTGTCTGAATGAATTTGCTTGCAATTGTGTGCAATGTGTTTGTGCTTGAAGATGGATGGTTCTTGGAAGTGACCATTCAAACAGCATCATACAAGGCCAACGTTTCTATTGTGAACCTGTATAAAAAAAATTATGAATATATCACATTCTTCTATCTTCAAACAGCATCGTACAAGGCTGGTTCAGTCAATTGATACTATTCAAATACATTGCAGCAGCATCCCTGTATATAAAAAGTAAAAACCAAGACATGGCATGGCCTATTACAGAGTTAACTAAGTCATCCAGGACCGCAATTTCAGCTAAGACATAAGCTGAGTTACTCTCAAGTCCTTGTTCTGAGTACTGACAAGAAAGTTCAGTTTCAGTTATTCACTAATCCAGATACTACACAATACAAAAGATAAACAGTTCTGTCTAACATTATGCAAATTGCTGCTGCCATCAAGTACATCGCCGTGTCCGTCTCCAGGCTTAAAACTAATGCCATGTGAAGCCTGCACAACATCTCCTCAGAATGGTTGTTGATTTATAGTTTCTTCATTCCATCCCTATGAGAGACAAGAGACATTGGCATTAGCATTCTCATTATGTTTCTTTTGTACTCCCTCCATCAAAAAATAAATGGCATTCTCGCTTTCGAGAAATCAAACATTTTTAACTTTGACCAAATATATACAACAAAATATTAATACTTTTAGTGCATAATTAGTATCATTAGATAAATGATTGAATCTATTTTCATAATACATTTATTTAGAGATAAAAATGTTGCTAGTATTTTTTATAAAACTATTGAAACTTAGGAAAGATTGACCGGCACAAATACAATAGCGAGACACTTATTTTGGGACGGAGAGAATATCCACTAGTGTAGTTCCGCTTCCATGACTACGTGACCTGAATCGTTCAAGGGACCTCCATTTTGTCAGTCTGACCATACGGCCTTGCCCCTATCTTCATAAGAAACAGATAAATAAAACAACAGAGGCAATTAAAACATCACCTTTTACTATCTCCATACACAGAAGAATGCAATTATTATATTTTAAGGAGTCAAACATTTTGAACTTTGACCAAAGTTATGTAAAAAAAATGCTAACATTCATGATACAAAATAAACACTATTAGATTAATAATAGAATATATTTTCATAATAAACCTATTTGGATCCACAAATGCCAGTACCATTTTCTATGACCTTAATCAAACTTAAATTAGTTTGATCGATACAAAATCTATAATTATATTCTTTTGTGACGGAGAGAGTATCTAATAAAAACAACACTCATATATACACGAATGAAATTCCGTATCCTGCCTGGAAGACCCTCTCCCACGGCGAATCCTGCTTCTGTTCATGTACCGCCCATCCAATACCCCCCTGCCACGTGCAACGGCCTCCTTAGCCTCTGACCGGTTCGACGGGCGTCGACTACGCTGCGGGGTTTCCAGCTCCTGCAGCCGGTTCGCCAGCCCGTGGCTCAACCCTCCAGCGCGTGACTTCGCTGCTCACTGATGCCATGGGCCCTCTTCTCCTCTGGCCCATTGCCAGTCGCCCAGACGAGTCTCCGTACGGCGCCGTCCGCATCGGACGCGTCGTCTGCTCGCTTCTCCAGGCGCCCTCGCCTCGGCGCTCGTGGCTCGTGCCGCCCTTTGCCGCCGGATTCGTCACCTGCATTTTAGGGACCTTCCCGCCTTTTTCTCTGTCGTGCGGGGCGCTGCTTCCTCGGCTTCGTCGTCGTGCTCCTGCCGCGGCCGCCGTTACCGCCGGAGGCTGCCCGATAGGTGCGCTTCTCTGTCGCAGCCATGGATTTGTCGTCGTTTTCCTTTCTCTTCTCAGTTTGCCCTGCGCTCTTGGCTCTTGCCGATTTCCCGTGCCGTCAGCGTGTGCCTCTGCCGTTCTTGCTGGGCTCTGCTCCGTCTTATATTGGCTGATGCCTTCAGGTCCATCTGCGATTTGCCCCTGTACGCAGGCTCGGGCTGTCCATCTTTCTCTGCTCATCAGGGACCTGCCTCCGTCGACGCGTTCGCCCCGGCTCACCCAATCGTCAGGTATGCACCAGCCCATGTCTGTAAATGGCGCTTCTTTTTCACTGTCGCTGCTGCTATGGTTCCATGACCTTTCGTTTCTGTGCTCATGAGTTATGGCTGCTGCTTCGCATGTTTTCTCTGTGTTGTTAGTATTTTACCTTTTTGTCAGTGTGTGCTTCTAGGTTGACGCCAACGATTGTTGCTATGTATGCATGGGTCCTTGGCTCTGGCCTGTTTTAGTGTTCGTGTAGTCTTCGTGCCCTACTTGATTATCCTTTGTTTCGTTTAGAGATTGCCACCAACGATTGCCTGCTTTGCGCCCTACTAAGTTACCCTTTGTTTTGTTGTTCAGTATCGCTGTATGTATAATGTATGGGTCCCTACTCCCTTCTCGTGACCTGCTTTACTCTGTGTTTGGTCTTCATACGCTGCTTCATCGTTGTTTGTTCCTTTAGGCACGGATCCATATTTCCCTTTTTTGGGATACTTTTGCCTAACTTCTGTCCTTGCATATCTAGCTACGTTACAATGGTCTGCTGTTACTTCTTGCTTTCTGTTTTCATGTTGCCCTTCTGTTAGATGCCATCTAGAAGAGGCAGGGGTCGGCCATCTGCTCTTTTTTTTTTTGTGACTGTCCTGCCTTTCATTGTCACCCGACCGAAGCCTCAGAAACAACCAGATCATACACGCACGTCGGAGTTACATGCCACGTCTCCGATCGGTGCGACTCTGATACTTGTTTTGCTAAAGTATGAGCTACTTTATTACAAATTCTACTAGCAAAAGAAAGCGAAAACTCCTGAAAGGCAAGACTAAGTTCAGCAATCTCCTTCAGACTCGAATCAATGATGGACCGTTGATCATCCCTCCTATTCCATAGCTGTACCAGTTGTAGGCAATCAGTTTCCACCATCACATTTTGAAATCCCAGCTGTGCAGCAAAGATCAGGCTGTCTTTACAAGCTATCGCCTCCATGGAACACGCATCATAGCCTTCCTCATACCACTTCGCTTGCGCAGCCTGAAAGACACCATGGTGGTCTCTGATAATGCATGAGGTAGCCCCTTGTTTGCTCTCAACAGAGAAGGCGGCGTCCACATTGATCTTCAGAGAGCCCCGCATCGGCTTTGTCCATCTCTGGATTGCCCGTTCCTTGTCCTGCTGTCCGGGTGGATGGTTTAGCTGCCATAGATGGTAAGCCACATCTCTGGCCCATATCACTGCCTGATGAACAAACATAGAAAGCTCGCCATGACGTCGCTTGTTCCGCATCATCCAGAGTGCCCACATGCCGCACAAAATAATCGCTTGATCACGTCTTGGGCACATGTCCGACAGCAGGTCCACTGCCCATGTGGATGCATTCAGCATAAGGACCTTCACTCCCGTCACCATCTTGGTCTGTGTCCAAAAGTGCCTGGCCACGGTACAATCAAGAAGGACATGCTTGATAGATTCCTCTGGATTACCACAAACTTCACAATACGAGATCGGTTCCACATGTCTTCTACATAATTCTTGACGTGTTGGGAGGAAATCATTCAAAACTCGCCACCAAAAAACCCGAACTTTGGGTGGGACTGCAAGTTTCCAAACCTTCCTCCACAAACCTTCATCTGACGAACTAGGCTGATTTGAGAATAGATCTTCAGTTCTCCTCTTGTGTAAGAGTCTGTAAGCCGACCTCACCGTGTACACCCCAAACTTCTCCATATTCCAGGCCCAAAAATCGGCATCTCCCCTGCCAATCGGTTGTCTCAGGATAGCTGCTGCATCAATTTGCAAAAACCGGCCCTTGATCAGCTCTGTATTCCAAGAGCCATGCTGCAGTAAGTCAGAAACGAGAACCGGGTGTGTCGCTTCTTGTGTTGTGATCGGCCGACCTCCAAAGTGGTCAA